TGTGAGGTTTCATCGTTGTTTCTTGTGAGGTTTCATCGTTGTTTCTTTTTTAGTATTCTTATTTCCTTCTTATGTTGTGGATCTTATGCTATTTCGAGAAGACATTATTCTCCTTTCATTCACATATATTTATCTTCTTTGTTTTTTCCTTTTTCGTTTTCTATAAGAGAAGTTTTATTGCTTCCTTATCTGGTCTTTTTTTTACTAATAGTTGCTTTAGATTGTCTGAAAGTCTGTTTGCATACATTATAGGTATATCATCGAGCGGCGTTCCTTCGAATATCTCCTGCCATAACTGATGAAACCGTGATCCAAAATTTTCTAGAGATGGGGCATATGTAAAGTGGACTAGAATGTCCCTTCCAAACTCTATTCTTCTTTTTTCTTTTTTATTCCAATCGTTCTCTAATATTTTTTCTCGATATTTTTGGTGGTCTTTTCCTAGTAGTAATTCTGATGTTTCTTCTCCGGTTACATCTTTTAAGAAACGTTGCATTTGTCTATCGATGAATTTTGGAGGGTATTTATTTAGGAGGAGCATAATTCTAATTTTATCAATTTCATCCCGTAAGTCATCCGGATGTGAGCATATACGGGTAGCGCGATGAATTGCCGAGTAGGGTATGTTTCTAGTTATATGCCGTGGATGTGCTGAGTGAAAAGGTAGTACGTACGGTTGCGCTGCGAGTTTTCGAAATACTTTTGTTCGGAAGTTCGGTATATCTATTGTTGTTGTTACATCTAAATAGTCTACAGTCTTTCCTCCTCCTTCCCATGTGATGTTAATGTTGGAATCTTTTTCATTTAATTCTGATAAAAGTTCTTCTATCTGAGTTGGCATCAGGTTCGTAGTTAGAAATACATCATCTCTGAAGCGAAAATATAGCTCTCCTTGCTGCTGTTGTTTTCCTACGAAATTAGCCTCCCATTTTCTTATATAAATGTCAGCCAGTACCTGCGTACAGGCTGACCCCATCGCTCCTCCCCTGATTTGCTGATAGAATCTTGCCTGTAGTCCCGGCAGTTGGAGAACAAAATATGAATTGGTCAGTACGTGTAAAAACATGGCCTTTATTGTGTTTATCGATAGACCATGAACTTTTCTATACCCTTGCCGACCAAGAAATTCACATACTGCTAGAACTGATTCTTTTTGTGGGATCATCGTGTATAAGTCTGCAATATCAAAGGTGTACATATTTGTTGTAGTTGTTGTTTTGTATCCTTTCAGTTGCTTTAGAAAGGTGATTGAGTTAGTCAGTGCGTAAGGGGTGTGGTTGTCGAATAGAGGTCGAATAATTTTATCCAAAAAACTGGATATTTTTGATAATGGGGATTTTTTGCCGCTTACTATCGGTCTTAGCGGTTCCCCTATTTTATGATCTTTTGGATTGTAATACAAGTGCGGCAATTCTGATTCGGTAAGAGATGGTCGCAATCTTGCAAGCATATATTGTGGTATTTGTTTCCTTGAAACCAGATCGCGTAAGAATTTATCCGTTCTTTCTATCATTTCTTTAAGGGGTGATGTAGCTACCTCAATGTATGCATTTGTCTTAGCCATGTATAGATCCGACTTCTTTATGTGGTTCTCTGGTGTCTCTATATGAAACACCTTCGATTTGTCTGCTTGCCTAAATATTATCTTTTTTTGTTTCTGTATTTTTTGAAAGAAACTAATAACTTGTTTCATGTTTGGGTTCATGGGTGCTTCTCTTTCTATTGTTTTCTTTATTTCTTCTTCAATTCTTGCACAGAATTTTTTTACTATTGGTGGATCTCTGTTTATCGTTTTAGTCTTATTTCTCCATGCTGTCGATACCTTTTCTTTCATGCTTTCTATTTCTTTTGGAAGACGTTTCAAAACTGTTTCGGGTGCTGGTGGTATAAATTTCGGTCCTAAATTTAATATTGTCGCTTCTACACCTTCAAAAATAGTTGTCTTGTTGTTCGCCTGAGGTGGGAAGCTTATTCGAGTATAGTGTGGATGGATTTTTGCTGTGGGATGGCCTGGGTGATGACGAGATAGGGCGTGCGCTAATTTTCGTTGGTTGCGCACGCCCTTTTTGCCAAAAAATTCAGTTTTCTTTTCGCATATTGACTATGTCTCGTATGCGATACTTGACACATAGTGTCGTATGACTCATGAAGATGTTTCGATAATCCTTTCATTAATTCTTGATATTCTCTGTTAGCATGTTCTATTTCGGCTATCTTAGCTTGCCGCATTAGTGCTGTTAGATCTAATTTTGCTTTCCGAAGAACGCTTTTCCATTGTTCACGTAGCGAATTTAATTGATTATCATTTGGTTGTAACTCTTTTGCATATAATTGAAGTTTATCTAATATGTTTAAAGATGGTGGGGGCATATTTTCTATAAATCGCATTTCTAGTTTATCTAATTGTAATTTTAGTTCTAGCGTTCTCATGTATTTTTTGTGTAAACATTGTATGAGTTGTTGTTCTGATTGTGTTGCTGTATTCTTTATTGTTTGTGCTGCTTTTTCTCGTTTGTGATCTAATAAAAGATTGTCTAATCTTTTTATATCACTTTTCTTTTTTTGTTCAAGTACTTTTTCGATGGTATTTTTCACGAATGATACTATCTGACTCTTTTCTTTTTCTGAGAAGAATAAATGCAATTTATTTTCTCTTTCATCTTCTAGCTCTTTATATCTGTTTTCTAGATAATTTTGATGTTCTTTTATAGTTTCAATTGTACATCTTTGATTTGTTCGTTTGAAATGATATCGACATTCAATTGGAATAATCATAAACTCAAATTTTATTGGCATTCTTACTATACTATCTTTTGGTATGACTGATGGTGAATATATTCTTGGTTCTGGTGTCGAACTTTCCATAGGACTTATGACTATTGAAGAATCTTTATCTATATTAATGATTGTTGTTTGTTTTATTTCATTTCTATTTTCATTATTGTTTTCAATTTGTTTTTCTAATGGTAGTAATACATTGTAGGACTGTTGATGTTGTTGTTTGTTTTTATTTTTTTCTCCTTTATCGTAAAATGGTGAAGATTGAACTGATCCTCCTTGGAGTGGTGCATCTTTGTTTCTCGGAGGTAGTGTTTTTCTTGGGATAATCGGTGGGGGTGTAATCGGTGGTGGTGGTTGTCTTGGTGATGGTGGAGTTGGCGGGTTGTCTTGACGTTGTGCCAATTTTCGCTTTTTTCCCGGTACTGGCTCTGGTAGCCATTCATCGAATAGTTCTGATAGATCACTTAAATCTAATGGTGCAGGTGGATTTGCCAAATTATTAGGCGATGGTCTAGCTATTGGTATACTATTATCATCTATTATTATGGTTTCTATTTGTTTTCTATCTTGTGCTACTTGTTTCTTTTCACTTGCAGATTCCACATAAATTCGCCATTTTTCTGCCTCTAACTTCAAAATTTCCGTCTGAAAATGTAGATTACTTAACATGAAGATGTTTTCTTTTTCTTTTTCGAACTCTGCTGGTATTGCTATCTTCCGAAAGAATTCTTGTTTATGTCGTAGAAAATGAGGATAATTAGGTATTAATTTCTTCATTGGCAACTGTTGCCTTCCATATTTTTGATTTACTGACCATCGATATTGATTGTTGTTGTCGGTGGTTACATTGTTGCGTTGATATTCTTGATATTGTTTTGTTTCATATTGTTTGTGATGATATTGAATTTGTATTTTTTGTTGTTTTTGTCGCTGTTTTTGTTGTTGATAATGTTGTCGATTATTATCTTCATAAATTTGTAATTGTTGTTTCTGTTGTTGTTGTTGTTGTTGATAATCTAATTGATGATGTTGTGATTTTTGTTTTTTTTGTTGCTCTTGGTATCTTATTTGTTGTTGTTGTTGATTTTGTTGGCTTATCTTGTGTTGGTTGTTATTATTATCTAAAGGTAAACTTTTTGTATGTTTAGTGAACCAATTTTTTATTGCTTTTTCAATTAATATACGACCTGATTTAATTGATGGGTGAAGACCATCGGTATGCATATGGTGATGTTGAAGATTTGTATGAATGACTTCGAAATTCAGTTGTTTGGATAATATTTTCAATAATTCATTAAATTTTTTATTATTTTCGTTGATTTGTGAAGAATCGAAGAGTTTCGATGGTTTCCATCGTAGTGAAAGGAGTAGCCAACCTATGCTTTTTAATTTTGGAAATAATCGTCGCACATATTGGATTAAATCATGACATTGTTGGATAGCAACTTCTGGTCCTAAATTTGCTACATCATTTGTACCAAGAGAAAAAACAAGAAAGTCCATTTCAAATATTTTTTTATTTTTTTCAGTTTTCATTTGTTCTAAAAAAGTCAGCATCCGGTTGCAATCGCATCCGGATTCAAAAGATAGAGTTACCTTGATGTTGTTGGTACTTACTTGTTCTGAACGAACATATTTACACATAGAATCAGATAGGATGATACCTTGAAGTTCGTTCGATGTTGGTGTAAAATTATAATTCTTATTTGGATAATTTGGCTGAATTGATGGTGCTCGATCTTTGTATTGTTCGGCATGTTGAATACTTCGACGATTTTTGCGCGGTGGTTGTTGGAAGCAATGAATAGACATGAGAGAGGGTATAGGAATGTTTTCAGTAGTATTTTTATTAAATTTAGAATTCGAATGAATATAATTATTATTTTGTACGTTTTGTTTCAAACAACTATTTCTATTTTTATTTTCATTAGATATATTAGTGTAACCAGAAAATGTGGTTGTTGAGCCAGTTTGAAATTTACGATAATATGGTGCCTGTTTTCGTTGTGTAGCATTACATAGATTGAATTTTGCATTAACATGAGGACGTAAATGGATAAAGGATGTTGTCGTTGATGATGAAGGTTTACGAGATACAGTCATATGATTGGGATAATTGTTAATATTTCGAGTATTAGATTTTATATTCATGTTGATTCTTTGAGCGAACAGAAATATTGATTATGGTTCGACAATAATATAATATCAATTCATTCAATAAAGCAAATCAACATGTAAATTTTTGAGTAGTTTTTATTTTTTATTATTTTTTTAATTATTTTTAGTGTTTTTGTTTTTTTTTTTTCTTTTTGAACTTTTCAAAGAGATAAGTAGAATAACAAGAGAAAAAAGAGAAAAAAAGAGAAAAATAAAGACCAACAAGAGGGAACAAATAAATAAACAAAAAAAAAATAGACAGGTAATGTTTTTGTATTATTTTACGCGAGGCCTTTCGAATGTTTCTTTTTCAAGCGAGTGAGCAGGAATGATCTAAATGTAAGAGAGAGACATTTATATATTCGATCAAAATGATCTGACAATTAATCATCTAAAATTCTTTGAATAAGAAATAAAATGGAACTAATTGATAGCTGATTCATTAGAAGAAATTAATGTATATTGCTTTTCTTTTCTGTCAGATTTATTTCTCATTTAAGATCATTTATTCATTTTGATGCCATTTTTTACCGTTGTTTCCTTTATTTACATGGAACGGAAAATTGAAATAACCTAACTTTTGTTAACAATTATTGGTCCTCACTGTTGTTTCTTATTTCAATCTGTATTTTTCACTTCTTCTAATTTCAATACACTATTGTTAATTTGTCTTGATTTTTATTAATCATTAATTGTATTTAACGCATTAAAATGCATTATTTTAGAGGGATACTCTGAGACTTCTGTAAGCCTATATACTATATCTCTTTTTCATTGTGGAAAGATTTTATTTTCAATATTCTTATCACTCTCTCTTTCAATATCTTTTCATGCAGTTCAATACTCTAAAGGTCGCTAATTTTCAATTAGAAACCATAAGTATTTATGATAGTCATGTGCTCGTTATCACATTTTAAGAACTTATAATGCAACAGAAATATACTAGAGTATCATATTATTTGATCAATTTTCCTCACTGATTACAATACAATATTTTGCACATATTATGTGTATTCACTATCCAAGAATTGGAACACTATGATACAAGAAAATAATCTAATATAGACTATCGAATAGTTTTAATGCACTATATTCCATTAATTTGTTCATATGGTACTATTCTTCATCGTTTTTTTAATGCATAATATTACAAAACTTCGTTTAACATGATTTTGTTATCAGCATTTCGGTTTTAATGCCTAATACTATGCCATTTATTTGGCTATAATATTATTTTTCGTACTTCAATTTTAATGAATGATAAGGCATTACTTCTTAGTTATTATATTACTCTTGGAAGTTTAGTTTTAATTAATGATACTATGTTATTTACTTTTGCGGCATGATATTATTGTTGATTGTTTAGTTTTAATGCATTATATTGCATTATTTTCTTTTGACAACATGATACTCAAATTTATGTTGTATTGGATCATAATACGTTACTGGTTAATGACACTCTGTTATTCAACATTGATCATATTTTAATGCATTATAATGCATTATTTTTGAAAGATATTGTAACTGTGTCTATCAACTATCTTGTAATGCTTTAACAGTAAAGATATTCTCGAATCTAATATCAGTTTAGATGATAGTTCATTCATAACGAATAATATTCTAGTATTCATAAGTTAATTAATTTTCATCACACTATTATACATTGCACTTAAATGAAACAATGATATTCACGAGTAAATCAGTTTGTAATGCATTAGAATGGTTTGTTTTTAAATGGTGTACATATACAGTATATTATTCAGTATTTATTAAATCGTAACACATTTCAGTGGATCATTATTGAATTATATTTGAATGCTCTTCTATGAATTATATCGTAATCACTATTAATGTTTCATTTTGTGTTTGAATAGTATTTGGATGCTTCTTGGGAATTATTTTGCAATAAATTTGAATATATTATTATGTTAGAATGTTTCAATAATAACTGGTTGATTGATTTGTTTCACATGAAAAGGTTAAGATATTTGAAAGAAAAAAAAATTTTGAACTTTAAATGACGAATCTGATATTTGATGCAGCTACCTCAGCAGTATGCTTCGAAATTAGCTAAGTGAAAGAAATTACAAGTTTTGTTTGCATATTTGTAAAAGACATACATTTCAAGAATATCATAGTTGAAAGCAGTGGGAATGCAGGATTTTGAGAAGGCAAGAGAGTGTGCTCCAGTAATATAATTGTTGGTACGTATATTTTATTCATTTAGAGGGACTCAGTGTGTATTTACGGGTTTTTGAGGCGCTCCTATGGGTAAAACACACATATCGGAGATTTTGTTAGCGGAGGCTCAAAAGTTTGTAGGGTCAGTGAGCCGTCCGGCCACTGTCTGATCATACGAGTGATTTTCATCTTCACTATAACGTATATTTTATCTCAACGTTAATACTAAAGGATTGGTTTCCATCAAATACTATAATGCTGCTTTTTCGATTATGTATTCATCGAATAGCATGCGTTGTAATCCATTACTTTTCAATTAAATTTCCTGTGTTCATTATTCAGGTATAGCTGTTTTTTTCAGTTT